ATGATTTTAGCAAATGGCTGCAATATAACAAAGAGTGAAAAATTGAAGGGGGTCTGAATACTTTCCGTACCCACTGTACATCCGAGTAAAATGCATTATTAAAGAAAACATGTAGAGTGGTACTTGGTTCTATGCATCAGTTGTTGATTGGATGATGTCAGACTGGTTGAATGTGAGTTTTCTGTCAATAAGCAGACTAAATAAATTAAGAAGTCCATCTTACATTACCAATCAAAAGTATGCAATTTTATTGGAAGATCGAGGTTGATAGGATAAAAAAAGAAACGTATACTTGAATTAATCGTGCACAATAAAATAAATGACATGCATTTAGTAAATAGAGTGAATTTTCATTTCATGCCAAGTTTAAACAGTGTATTTTTTTTTTTAGAATTAGCTAATAGAGTACACTCTAAAAAATGCTGGGTTGTTTCAACCCAACTTTGGGTCAAATATGGACTAACCCAGCTGTTGTTAGAGTGTAGCATTCCAAATGTCCTTCTGAAAATAGTTTTGCAGACTGGATGACAACTAATTTGAAAATAAAATATTTTAAAGTAATGTGGTTCAGAATACATTTCTTAAACACACACAGACCGGCAGGAACGCATGAGTGTTACGTAATGGAGTTTAATCTGGCCAGACAGCCATGAAGGGTTCTCACTGACAGGTGATGTTTGCAGAGGACCTCTTGCTGTTATATGGCTCCTATCTGTTAAGGTAAAATGCACAGAATTTCCATATTGTTTACATAATCAATTATTGGCAATATATTAAATGTACTTACAAGAACAACCTCAGGAAAAATAATTTCATTACTGTATAGTTTGGTTTGGTTCATACTGGTTAGTTTGGTAGAACATGAAGTAAAGTAGATTTTTTTAGGCATAAAAACGTGCATGGTCAACAAATGTAAAATATGATGATAACACTGGCCCAATAGGCCTAAGACTTCTGTCAGTCTGCCAGTAACACTCTGTATTGACCCTGGGCCGTTCTTATTGTTGAGGCCTCAACCACATGTAAAATAAATGCTAATAACCTAATTTTATAAAGTCCATGTTTAGGCAATTAGAAACTATAACTAGTTTTTAATGGCACTATTCTGGATTATCCCAACGATTTTGTCTTGACTATGACCTACAATGGGACAACTATCACCAACACTCTGACACACACACACACATACAGAGACTTTCAGATGATGTAATGTGCTCCACTACTTCACAGAGACGGTTTTAGGTCATTGTCAGGCTTTGCACGTCCTATTACTTTTTGCTGTAGCTGTCTGCCCACTCCGAGCCCCAACAACAGGTCGCTGACCCACAGCCATTTCCTCCTTCAAGATTTCTGCCCGTCTAAAATAAGGTCAACGTCCATCACTCACCCCTCCCTTCTTCTCTCTTGTGAAGTCGACACCATTGGTACACCAGGAAAAATATACTGAGTATCACTTTGACCAAAATAAGAGCTGTGGCCTAGTGGTTAGCACATATGTGCCACAGTGCTTGTGCAGGTGACATGGAGTTCATCTTGCATCATTTCCTGAAGTTCACTATCATTTCCGGTCCTATTTCTTGTCCACATAACTAAAGGTTGCAAAAATATAAAAAATGATCACTGTTAGAACTGAAAGTCACCATCTCCATTGAAATCTGTGGTTATCTCTAAAAGATCACCTTAGTTTTACAGTAAAGGCCCCAATATACAATTTTTTTGTTCCTCGTTTAGGAGTGAAAAGAAGTTACCTTTACTTTAAGAAGTTATGAAATACCATTGCAGCGGTATACTGTTAGCAAACATCCTGATGCCACCCACACCATTCATTCTCTTTTTCTTGGTAGTTTTAGGTGTATGCTCTTGACAGTGCCTGTGTTTGGTCGATATAAAATATTAATAAAAATTATTTAAAAAACATGCTTTCAAGATACTGGTTAATTAATCACTAGGCCAGTGAGTATATATGCAATCATTACTCAGCTCTAGTAATCTACTCTTAGTTTTCTTCATGGACTCCTGTAAGTTTAAGAATATTTGTGTTGGTTTAAATGTATTTCCTTAATATTAAATAATATCAATTAAATCATGTATTTACCCGTGTACCAGTTTATTCAAAGCTCGTCTACATTCTGATTCCATTGTCATTTGTAGACAGCAGATTAAGGAGCATGTGAACTGGATTTACTTAATTATTCATTGTTGGGGTTTTTTTTTTTTTTGTCTGTTTTTGGTACTCCGGATTTGTCCCCATAGATCATGTTTTTGTTATGCAACAGTCTTTGGTGAAAATGATATGATTACACAATGAGACACCTAACTAAAAAGCTCTTTCCTCTTATGAACACTGGATAACTTAATGTCTTACATGATACGTGAAGATAATTTAAAACTGAATCCTGTCTTCTGTCTTTTTTCCAGATGTTGACCTTCCACCAGGAGATCCTCTTTAACCTTTTCTTTAATGTTCCTCACTTTCCAAAACCCCGGATTGGCATTGGACGTGTGAACTAAAGTCCTCGGAAAACTACGTTCTGCAAATATCCAAATATTCTTCATCCTCACCCACACTAGGAGAAGATGGACAGTCCACCTAAGCTAGCCGGGGAGACTCTTATTGTCCACCACATTCCGCTGGTTCACTGCCAGGTTTCGAGCTCAAGACAGTGCTGTGGTAGTTCATTGAAAAGGAACAGTAACCCCTTTAGCTGCCCGGAGAATTTGGGATTGAGCCGGACCACCTCCCTACCTGAGAGAGACATTCTTCAGCGGGAAGCTTTGGTGTACAGCAGCCTCATACAGACGTCGAGCAGCAGCCTTAGCTCTAGTGACACTTTTGGGGATGGAGGGATGAGGGGAGGAGAGACACATGGAAGAGGAGGGAGAGAAGGGAGTATGGCAAGCGACACTTCCTCTTTCACCTCGAGCAATTCTGAAGATCAGGCTCAAGGCCTGCAGATAAAGACACGTGAACGGCCGAACTCGAGGCGTAACCCCTTTCTGCTCAACACCGAAGATGAAGATGACGACGAGGATGAAGACAATCTGAATGGATATTTGGAAGACTCCTCCTTTCACCTGCATGGAAATTCACATGACATCTCAAATGCAGCACTTGCAAATGAAGACTTGCCGCCGTTCCACCTGCATGACCTTGGGTATACCGCTGAACCTTTTCTATTGCATGGCTCTACAGAAAAACAGTGGAGATCCACTAATGGACCTAGTGGGGAAGCAGAGAGCAGAGACCACACAATAGGTGAGACTTTCGTTTTATCTACTCGCATGGAAGGCCTGAACTTGCTGAGATTAGATAGCCAGCGGCGCCACGGAAGCAGTGGTTCTACCCTTTCAATGGACTGTGGTGAGCAAGAATGGGGGGAGGATGATGATTATGAAGACCATTCCATGCAGGGCGGCAGAGGAAGCTCAGAGTGTTCCAGTCTCGCAGCACCACATTGCTCCTGTTGCGGCCTTTCTCAGCCATACCCTGAACCTTTTCACGAATCGTTTTCTGAGTGTCACCAGGGCTACAGCAGTGATTCCTCCTGCAATAGCTCCGATGGAGTGCTGGTTAACTTCAGCACGATTTACAACAAGATGAACAATGTTGTCCCGGCCAAACAGTCGCTCAATATCAACAGTTCCGCCGAGCAATCCTGTGCCTCTTCTGTGTCTGAGCTCATTGGGATGTGTGGAACAGAATGTAGCAGTGGACGTGGCGCTTTCTACCTGGACTTACACACCTCCCCGATCGAACCCCATCAGCATCCTTTGGCCACTCAAGAACATGCAAATACTTCTTCTGTATCTCAGCCTCAAGGTGCCACTATGGAACTAGATGCCAACTGTAACTCGTACCACAACCTTCTCGGAAGCGAGGTGCTGTCCTCTGCTGAAGCCTCTGCCAATGAGCTCACCTCGTGTCTTCAAAGCCAAGCTCGCTTGATTGTAGCAACGCAGAATTACTACAAGCTTGTGACGTGTGACCTTTCTTCCCAGTCCTCTCCCAGTCCAGCAGGATCATCGGTCACAAGCTGCTCAGATGAGCACAGCAAAGGAAGTCCCACTCAGCCAACAGAGTACTACCTATTCCAACAAATGATAGAAGATGAAGAAGAGGAAGATGCAGAGGTGCTGTATTATTTGCTTCATGTGGTGTTAGCTTGTATTTAGCATTTTGTACCATCACTCATTCTCAGAGCTGGGTAGATTACTTACAAATTGTAGTCCGTTACTGATTCCAAATTACATGACCCAAATTGTACTTAGTAACGTAATCCATTACATTACTCATTCTAGGTAATGTAATCAGAGTACTTTTGGTTACGTAACTCGTTTATCACATTGATTTAAATAGGATAACATTGTACCATACTGATATTAAAATGCAAAGAAAATATTTTCCATTTGTTGTTATTAACAACATAAAGTGAATTAAGCATTACATTATGTCAAGGTTTCCCAAACTGGGGTTTCTGAGTTTAATGAAAAGCTAATAAGTCATAAAAATGTAAAATTACAATAAATCATTTTAAAATAACTTCAATCAAAATATTTTTTTGTAATATTTTTCAGAATATGATTACGTAATCCAGATTACATGTAATCAGTTACTACCCAGCTCTCATTCTATACTTCTGCATCCTTTACATTCTTTTCTTTTTCTTTTGCCAGAATGAAGAAAAGGATCCAAGTGAGATTGACTCTACCCGTGAGAATGTAATTGAGGGGCAGGTGTATATCAACATCTCCCCACCTACGACAGCCTGCAATTCAGTTGGTGCTTCGGGGAGCGGTCGACCTCGTTCTCGTAGCTACGATCGGAACTTGGACAAGTCTCCATCTCCTCGCCTTGGATCCTTGGAGCGCATGCTCAGCTGCCCTGTTCAGCTCAGTGAGAGTGCAGCCCCGAGCCCGCCACCTCCACCACGTGTCACTTCTTTTGCAGAAATTGCAAGAAATAAGAGGAGAACTGGAGGGTCACCTTCGCAGAAGGGTGGGATGGAGGCCACGTCCATGCGCACTCATTCATCTGGAGAGTTCTCGCCCATCCTGGAAGACCTTCCACAGGGTGAAAGCCACAGTTTGCCACCGCTCACTCGATGCCATAGTCAAGGAAGCTGTGATTTGTCCTCCCCGCATAGACCGCGGAGTACACCACTGCGAGAATCACCGGGGGGAGCGGGAAAACAGACTCGAACTAAAGCAGAAGGTAAGGGGAAGTTTTTTTCCAAAATCTTCTAAAAAAAAGGATAGTTGAACTGTGTTATTTGTAAAAGCTGGTTTATTTTGTGGATTGTCTTATTTTGTGTTTGAATAATGGTATTGTGCAGCCTGGCACCCAGAAGCCTGGTTGGATTTTGGAACTCTTCTTGACTATGTATTGGATGGGTAGTGACTATTAAATATTCTCAGTGATTGCCCTTAAAGGGATAGTTCACCCAAAAATGAAAATTCTGTCATTGATTACTCACCCTCATGTCGTTCTAAACCCGTAAGACCTCCGTTCATCTTCGGGAACACAAATGAAGATATTTTTGATGAATTCTGAGAGCTCTCTGACCCTCCCATAGACAGTTGTTTTCGTTCAAATCAAAGCGTAAACAATGTAGAAAATGCATCCGTGTGACGCAGCTGACACAGAACAGCATACGCGGTTTACGTTCAGTGGATACTCTCCAAAATGGCAGAATTTTCATTTTTAGGTGATCTATCCCTTTAACATGATTTGTTGGTTTTATAGTACAGTGTAGTTGCTAGAGTGTTGCTAGTATGTTCTGGGTTGTTCCTTATTTTGGCCCAAGTCAAAAGAAAAAAATACTATATGCTTTTGGACCCAAAAATAAATTCAATCATCCTTTACTCACCCATGTCATTTCATATCCCTATGACATTCTTCCATGGCTGGAATAAAAAAATAAAAATCTTCTGTGGAGGAATAAATGTTATGTGGTTTTGAAACAACATGATGGTAAATTAAATATAACGGAAATTGTTGGGTAAAATATTCTTTTATTTATGTATATGGCTTTTTATAGTCTGCCATAGTGTTGGGCGGTTTGACCAAAAATCCATATCAGTTTTTTTTGAAGGATTCTGACTGTTTCACGATTTATCAAATTTTTTTGCCCTGACTGTTCCTTTATGTGAATCAGAATGCATGAAACAGTTGCATTTTAATCACGATCCAAACAAAGATGCTACATGTAGCTTGATCAGTTTTTGATGTAAATTAGATTGTATCATTTCAAAATTTGAAGCAAAAACAGAACGATCTGACTGAATGTTGTGAAATTACGCTACATAAATCATCTGCATGAAACAGCAAACGGGCCGAATGAGAGCTCAGATTCACTCTCTTACAGAAGGTGGCGCTTATGGAACAGCAGGATACAGCGTTTCCTTGGTTACCGCTGTAAACAAAACAGCTGCACTTTTAAATACTACATTAATATGCTTTATGTGGAGGTAAGATGGAAAGAAAATAGCATCTGAACTTTTCTGAGAACAGTCAGTTGGTTCCCCTCAGAGATACATTCATATAAACCTTCAATTCAGTATTTAGGATTTTCTTCCGATATTTCACGCATGGTAAAGTGAGTTTGTTCTGCCTGCTATAGTATTTTCTCCTCTTTTTTCATCTTCAGCGTCTCTGGCTTCTGTTTAACGGCGGTTTACAGTTGGTTTATTTGCCCAGTTAAAGTTGTTTGTTATTAATAGTTCTAAAAGTTCTCCAACCATTAGTCGGAACTAAGTGTATGCAGTTAACAATTTTTTTTTATTATTTGTACCGTGTGCATAATTCAAACCGCATTACCGTTTGAACCGGTATATCGCCCAGGACTAGGACTCTGCCAGGTAATCTCAAATCTTATGAGATTAGCAATAACACATCTTCTTCCAGCTGCATTATGTGAGGTGTCATTCATGTCTGTAGCACAAGCAGTGCAAGAGTTGCATGATAAAGGTTTGCCAAAGCAAAATAAATAGGCAGAGTTTGATTAACAGACAGGTTAAGTAGTGTTACTGGACTGCATGTTAGTTCTCTCTGTGCTATGCTGCCCCTGCTGACTGTGACTGGGTTCTACAGTGTACAAAAGCCCTGACATATGAGTACTCGGGCATGTGGAGCAAACAGCTTGCGCAATAGCCCAGTGACGTTTCACACACACTGTGTGCACATGCAACACACACCTAGCGTACACAGAGGAGCTTCATAAACAGGCTGTTTTGGTCATAATATCTTGGTTGTTTATGTACCTCTTTTGGTCATTAATTTTTTTGGAGCAGTGTTTTAAGGTATGTGTTTGAAAAAAGTTTTTGTTTTATGTATGGTTTTGTTTCACTTTCATAATAAGAGCCTGTTGTCGCTGTTGCTCTTGCTGGGTTTTATTCTAGCTGTTTTATTCTAGCTGTGTCATTGTCATAGGCTTTCTGGTTTAAATTTACATCAAATAACTTGCTTCATGTGATAATTATATGTATGCATTTATAATGATTTATGCAGCTTTAGATATTGTTAATGCCTGCATTACTACATTAAATGATACTCTGCCACAGACTCTGATGTTTTAACTTCATCATTTTGTTCTTAATCTTCATCTGTCTTATTTTCTCTGCAGCCCTCCTTGCTCATCGCTGTCTCTTTTCTTTCTCCCCCTAGGTGGCCTGTCTAGCTCCACAGACTCCTCTCCAGTTGTAATTCGTTATAACAAAGATCAACGTCCGACCTCGTTACCCATTCAGCCTTTCACTTTCCAGCACCAGTTTGGAAAACCACAGGCGAAACCTCTCCTTCCTCTTCTGGACGGATACATCAGCCATATGCAGACTCGAGGGACTGCGGCGCCTGAGGGAGGTGAAGATGACTCCGAAGAAGATCGTAGGCCACCACACGGCAAATCCAACTCACGTACAACAGTGCGGCCATCCCCACTGGGCAGTTACTCCCCAGTTCGCCTCCAAGGTGCACCCACCTCTTCTGGAACCTGCTCCACATGCACTCCGACCCCAGGTGGTCCAAAGCCGCCACGTTCCCTCTCTTGCCCCATCTCTGCAGGTCTTCTGCCCCAGCATACCCCACCTGGAATGACCATAAGTACAGAGACTCCTAAACTCGCTCCCTTACCTCCTACACCGCCTCCACCTCCTCTGATGAAGCAGAGTCCGCTGATGCCTGCGTTGCCCACTAGAAATCACTGTTTCCACCGTGGCAATTTGCCAACCCTTCCCAGCTCTGGGCTCAGTCCTCTAGCATCACAGGAAGAGCCAGTGAAGGTTTTACCAGCATGTGTGACACAGCGACAGCCTAATGGTAGGTTTGGAGCAAAAACGAGTAAATTCAGACATAGTTCTAGACACTACCGTGTGTTGTTTTTGACCTTGTTAATGACTTAATGATCTTTTTTTTCTGCTTTCAAAGAAAAAAAAACACTAATGGTTTTGCCTTGAGTTTGTAAAAATTATTTTTTTCTTCTTCTGATTTGAGTTGGATAGAATCGTATTAGAGGTGTAACGATACACGTATTCGTACAGAAAATAGTCTTTCGGTTCAGTATGCATGTGTACCGAACAAATCATTCAGTAATGCCGTTTTGGTGCTCTTTGATGTGGCGTGACAGATCGCTGTATAAACGCCTCAGTTAAAACGGCAGCGCAGAGCGCGAGTCAGCGTGATCATCCCTTCCTCATTACTTCTAGTTTTAACGTGAAATAAACATGAATGAACATCTCATACAATCGCTCAATCAGTGTTTCAATCGCGGAAAGACGTGATTAAAACAACTTGTAAACAAAATGTCACGTAGCATTTCATTTACCCCAGGCAAGTCATCAGTGTCCACAGCTTGTTACTTCCCGAGAGAAATGAAGTCTAGAGAAGAGCATATCTCGAAATATTAGACTATACTCATTATATTTTCAATTAAATATTCAATTATATATTGTATAATTTAGAAGTTAATTTAAAAACTGCATTGTGTGCAATTTACATGCTTGCATACAATTTTTTTTTTCAGTGTTGATTATTATAGTCAAAAATAAATCGTAATTGAACTTTGAAGTTTGGGCTCTGTTGTTAATTGTAACCTTACAGTAATGTAAAAGGGCTCCCTAGTTTAGAGCAGAAGCTGAGGTAGATTTTTATCCCTAAGAAAATATTAATTATAATTGAATGTACTTAAAGAAAGAGCAATTTGTTCAGTAAACCATTGTTTCAATGGTTCAAAAAATCAATCTGTTTAGTTTTTTTTCCTCTTGCTGTACCGAAACCATACCGAACCGTGACGTCAAAACAAAGGTACGTACCGAACCGTCATAACTGTGTACCGTTACACCCCTAAATTGTATATAGGCTGCCTATCTGAACAAAGCCTTAGCTTTCTTACTTAGCTTGGCTTTTCTATCCTTAAACTACTGCTAACTACTTCTCTTTTCTATCCCTCCTGTTTCCCCTTCTGCCCATGGTTTGCATTGCATCACTTTGACATTTCCACAATTTTATCTTACCCTTCTGACCGTTCTTTCCCTTTTACTACTTTTCACTGTATATGTACGTTCATCCATCTTACTGTCCATTCACCAATACCTCTTTCTCTCTTTTCATATTCCATCCATCATTTGCCACCGTCCCCATTTCCATCCATTTCGCCCTCCAGTGCACCACCTCTCCCCACAGGCATTGAAATGGAGAGAGTACAGACGCAAGAACCCTCTGGGTGTGGAGCGTGGTAAAGACGGCCCTCATTCTTTCTCTTGTGCTTTGGAAACCAAGAGACCTGGAACTCGTGTCATGCGACGCAATGTGTTTGATTTCCCTCCCACCAATCAACCACTAAGCTTCAGCAGACTGAATGGTGCTGAACCAATTTCTAACACTCAACGAGGGTTGAAGGGAATGAGCTGGAAAGGGGGCTGGGGTGGGGTCATTTTGTTTGTAGTTAGTAAAAGTAATTAGTAGACACCTAAGTGTGATTATGACCTTATCTTTTGTCTGTCATCAGCTTGTTTTGTCTAGCACAGTGTCTGTGTTTGGTATATGTTTGCATTCATCTGACTGATGTTGTTTTTGTTTATAGGTCAGTCATTGAGGCAACTGCCGCAGTGCTACAGTGACTTCCTGCCTGATTACTTCTCTCAGACGGAGCGCCCCCCAGAGGAATTCTGCTTATCTCCTGATGCTAATACTGACAAATCCATTTCTATAGACCTGTTGCAGAAGAGAGGTGTGCGAATTTTTTTTTTTCTCTGTGTATTTATGCTAACAATGGCACACCATGTGTTCATTTTTGAGTTTACGATAAGTTCTTAAGTTAACCTCACTCCTGGTAGAGGTGAAATGTCCTAGTTTTATATTTGGATTTACATTTATTAATTTATCAGACACTTTACTGAAAGTGACTTACAAACGAGTTTGGGTCGTTAAATATTATCACGTAACTTTTGGCCATCTAGCAGTTAAAAAATAAAACTGCAAGCAGCTTGCCAGAAAACCATTGTTTTGGCTGTGCTTCGGCTTTGCTCCTCTGTGTGAATGTGGTTCAAGGCACAGGTGTACTTATGGATACAGGATGTCTTATGAGAGTGGATGGACAAATAAATAACATTACTTTTTTGTTTTTACAACTGGTGATTCTCCAGAGGTTTGCAGTTTTGAATGATACTTGGTCAATTTTTCTTGTTAATTGTGAGTAACATGGTATAGCTTTAAGTGGCTTATGCTTTATCATTGCTTTCATACCTTTTAGGCAACATTATTGTTCTTCACACCACATATTACTAAATTAGTCTTGCACAGGAAGGTGATACCACATAGTGACATAGTAATAGTTTAGATAAGGACAAGATTGAAATGCTGAATTAGAAAGTAAAAGGAATAGAGAAAACATGAATTTTACCACACAAATATTCCAAACCCAAATGACTTTTTTCTGTGGAACATAAAATTACAATATTGCTGAATGCTTGCGGTACTCTTGCTCATACAGCAAGCATAAGACAAATTGGCATCATTATGCTAGATTAATGTGCTATATTCCACGTCTTCTGATGCCAAAGAATAGCTTAGGACATATAAAACAATTTTTATGGCAGCACATTTATTTTGCTTTTTTGGCCTTTGGAGGCCAGTTCCTGGTTCCTGCTTTTGTTGTATGGGCAAGAGCAGTGTAAACATTCTTAAAAACTGTTTTTTCTTTGTCTTCCACAGACGAAATAAAGTCATACAGGTTTAGAACAACATGAGGGTAAATAAATGATAACAGAATTTAAATTTTCTAGGTCAACTATTATTTTAAGCAATTCCTTTTGCCTCTCTGCCTTGTTTGCAGTTTAAACAATGTCCAGATTGACCAATAATCTCCATATAGTCATATATACAGCAATATAATAACCTCAGCAAGCTCATCTTTAAAGCTTGATGAGGTTAATATGAACCTTATCGTTGCGGTGAGCCCTTTAGCTCTTAAATGAATTATAGTTTCATTGCACCGCATATACATCTGCAGTGAATGTTACATATGCCCTAGTGACTAGAAATCTATGTCTCTTGATGTTGTTTCCACTAGGTCCTCATGTCAATCAAACAAGGCCCCTTTTGCTTTCCACTCATCTCACATATTGACAATTCCCATCAGACCCTCTAAACTGCATTAGCACAAGACAGAGCGTGTGTTTGTGTACTATTAGTTGGAGTTTAAGTTAATTAGATGCATTGAATAATAGAATATTTTCTATTCTGTCTCCTCTGTATGTCCTTATGTGCTAGGTTTGGTGAAGGCCATAAACACAGCAGTGGATCTGATAGTGGCTCATTTTGGCACCAGTCGGGATGCAGGAGTAAAGGTACAACATTACATTTGAAATAAATAACAGTGTTAAAGTCAGTGTACTTGAGTTTGAGTGTCTCACTAAAGGCAGTAAATACGTTGACAGTACCTTCTGGTTCACTTTCGCTCTCCTCTACAGGCCAAATTGGGCAATAGCTCTGTAAGTCCGAACGTGGGTCACCTTATTCTAAAGTACCTCTGTCCTGCCATTCGTGAGATACTGCATGATGGCCTGAAAGCGTATGTACTGGACCTGATCATCGGACAACGCAAAAACCAGCCCTGGAGTGTGGTGGAGGCCTTCACACAACTCGGTATGAGAGGAATGATGTAGGTGATTATTGTATGGATGAGAATGAAGGAAATGATTTACACTTATCCTTTCTGTCCTAGGTCCCTCTACACGGGTTTTGCACAGTCTGTTTTCTAAAGTCAGTCAGTATTGTGAGCTGACCAATCACAGTATGAGACTCAATGCCTTCATCTTCGGCCTGCTAAAGTAAGCTTCTTTTATTTTTCTCTCTTTTCATCTCCCTGCTCTTCCTTTCACTCTTTCTAATCACGCTCAACTTCATACTGCACATTTTTGTCCCTTTCATAGTTTTTTGCTTGGTAAAGCATCAGCAAGAAATCAGAATGGATTTCTTAATTTGCATTCCTTATTGTGCGATTCATTGGATTCCTGTCAACGTTTTCTCATTGAATATAACTTTTCAATTGGAAATGCCTCACCTTATGCAAGCAGGGTCTGGACTATTTTTGGCTTTTTTAAATGTATGTATGAACATTTTCAGATTCTGTCTTGAGTTGATTGATGGAACGGAAGGTGCTTCTTAATCTTCTAGGAGTTTCTGACATGAAAACAGATTATATATATTGACCATCAAATGCATTGCAGTACTGCGTGCAGTGTCTTAGTTCGATAACAGTGTTGAAGAGAAGAAGCTTTCTCAGTACATTCAGTATTGGATCATGAATTTACCAATGTATATGTAGTTCATTTTTGTTATAAATCAGATATCCTTCGTAGATTTGGCAAACACAATAATACAACAAGTCGTGGGAAAGTCGTGGAAGTCGTGGTTAGAGAGTCGGACTCGTTACCCAAAGGTTGTGGGTTCGAGTCTCGTACCGGCAGGGATTGTAGGTGGGGGGGGGGAATGTACAGCGCTCTCTTGCCACATGTCATGTCACTGTCACTTTCACTTACAAATATACAAATCCTAATATTTGGTGAAAAAACTATTTGAATTAGAACTATGTTTTTAGCAATGCTGTATTTAATAAAATGTAGAATATACATGCTTTTTTTTAATGCAGTGCATTTTGGGAATGCATCATATATGCAGACAGTATTGCTTTAGATTTTAATATAATACTTTTAATACATATTGCCATTTTCTACCTTTGCGATGGTGCCATGAAATGGTGTCTTGGTAGGCAGCTCACTAGGATTTGGAACAGATCGATGGCGTATGATTTTTATGAGCACTATATCAAGCCAGGTCTAAAAAAACCCTCAAATCTTGCTGTCTAAAACTCAGCAGTGTGTTTCGAGAAGTCTTTAGAAGTCATCAAAGGCTCCAGTTTTGCTTTGATGGGCCTTGATGTACACATCTCAGCTTCTGGGCAAACTTCCTCTTTTCCACTCCTATTAAAATTACAGTCAGAGACACAGCGCTTTGATCATTAGTTTCAATTATGCATTCTGCAGCATTCTGAGCTCTCTCTGTCTATCTCACTCTGTGCTGTGGTCACTTCTCTTCTTAAGATCAATACAAAGTACAGTAATCACTCTTGAGGCTCCTTGTTGTTGCACTTGTAGTATTTCACTTTAAAACAGATTTCCAGGGTCCAGGGGTATTCAACAGGGGGTCCCCAACACCTAGGAGGTCTGCAGCAGTACTGCAGGGACAGGAGTAAATGTTGCTGTTATTCACAGGAATAAATTATATTTCAAAATATATAAAAATAGAAGACACTTATTTTTAATTGTAATGATATTTATATATATATATATATATATATATATATATGTGTGTTAAGGGGGTCTGAATACTTTCCGTACCCACTGTATATAGAAGACCCCTGGCTCTGGTATAAGTGCATGATTTCTGTTATTATGCAGTTATGTTACAGATTTGCATTTTACCTTTGTAGTTTTGGGTCCAAGATTTTACATCCCTCACTCACCTTCACTGTTTTTCAGCTTGCGATCTCTGGAATTCTGGTTCAATCACATCTACACACATGAAGGTAGGACAATACTTTCTTCACTTACATTTATGCTGCAACATCTATGTTCAGTATCTTGTTTAAGAGTAGTTGGCTGTAATCAGAGGAGTGGGGATGCCAAGATTTTTAGGTTTCACATACTCTGTTGCCAGCATAATTCTAATAATTAGCATTTTTTTTGTCACCATCTGTCTTTTTTTTCTTGTGGCATGGTTCCTCAGACATCATAGCAGCACACTACCACCCATGGGGTTTCCTACCCCTGTCTCAAGGGGCCTGCCAGCCACTGTTTGAAGAGTTGCTGCTCCTTCTTCAGCCGCTCTCACTGTTGCCCTTTGACCTTGACCTGCTATTTGAGCCACACCAACTACAGAAAGGGGAAGAACACCTGAGACGCAAAGAACAGCTGTGCTCTGCTCGCCAAGGCTTCGACCAATCAGATTGCTCCACCTTCCAGCTCATGCGAGGCTGTGGAACGTTGGAGTCTGGAGTGCAGGAAGTGGGAATGCTGCCTCGGAGAGAAAGCTTCATCTTGAGAGATGAGGACAGCCGGCTTAGGCTAGAGGGAGTGACATTAAAAACGAAACGAGATGGGTGGAAAAGTTCGGGAGTAGAGCGTGAATCACGAGATAAGGAGGCTGGAGTTGGCAAAGAGTGTTTGAGAAAGAGTGATGGAGGACAGATAGAAGGCGGCGGGTGGTGTGGTGGCAGGATGAAGGGAGTTGGAGAAGACTGTGAGAAGGAGAAAAGGAAAGGAAGAGATGGAGATGGAGCCAAACAGAGAAACAGACAAGCTGGCTGGTGGTACCAGCTGATGCAAAGTTCACAGGTTTACATCGACAACTCCGCTGAGGGATCAAAATTTGTGAAGTGGGAGAAGAGGAGGAAAGGTGGTGTTGAGAACCACCGGCAAAGCCATCCACCTCCAAGAGAAGGTGTGGTTGAGGGGGCCGAGGCCATTCAGCAGATGGATGAACAGGTGGAACATGGTCAGACCAGAAGTAGCAATATTAATACTGTTGGCAATGGAGTCCTCCACCAATCAGCATTGTCAGAACCCAACAAGGTCGCTAAGGGGAAGCCATCGTGGATGGGAAGTCCACCGGAATCAGTGCTCACTGAGCTGAAGAAGAGTAAGGAGAAGCAGCCAGACTGCCAGGACGCCTATGAAGGGGTTCAGGCCCAGCCAGGAGCAGGGGAGGATGGGTCGGCACAGGTGCTCCGCTGGGGTCGGCTGTTTGGAGCTGGAAACACAAGCAAGATGGAGAAGAGTGAGCCGAAACAAGTCAGAAAACAAAGGTGAGTTGGTCTGCATAAATATATTTAACACAGGGGCGTTTACTCTGAGGAGGCAAGGGGGGCAGTGCCTCCTCAAAATACTGGATGAGAAAAAAGTTTGTAGTACAAAAATAAAACAATTCAAATATTACAAAATATAACGTTAAAAAGTGTATAAATCACTCGTTTTTATAAAGAAACATGGTCCAACGACCAACGGTGACACCAGCAGGTAATGTTACAGCGTGAGTCTGCGTCTCTCTTGCCTCCTCTGAGCCCATTGAGTTTTCACAAAACCCCTAAAGCGTGCGGCGAGTTTAGTGGGGGGTAATTGAGAATGAATGGGGGAAAGTGACGTGAGATATGATTGGATATGACTGGTTATGATCAGCTGTGATTGGTTCTTCTTGCAGTAAATCCCATCTCTTGTGTTCGTGCGCGTTCCCCGTTCGCGAATCAGTCTGAATGAGCAATATAATGGTGTTAATGGGAAGACTAATAAAAAAAAAAAAAGTGAACAACTCACACACTTAGATAAAGCCACTTTTTATGTCAAAATCATAGACTGTAAAAAAACATGTATGTAGTGTCCGTGACGTCACCCGTAGGTTTCTGAAGAGCATTTTTGAAGCCTAAAGTGGGCAGAGCCGGCCGTTGCCATCTTGGCAGCGCATCACCGTGCATCTCTCTCGGATAATCGAAAATGGGCAAAGAGGCGGGATGTGGGTGGAGCTGGTTGCTGAAACCACACCTACCTAGCTCGACTGTGTTGACAGCAGCTGCAATCCACCTGTCACTCAAGTGGCCACGCCCTTAATTATGCAGAACTTTAAGGCTTAATATAATTTAAACGGATGTGTTATAAAAAAAATTCACCCATCTCACAGTTGTCATGAAGGCCAAAATTAGCTATATAGACCAAAACCACTTTTTGTACCAGGCTGTAAACATATTTTTTTCTGTTGTAAATTTGGGCATTTTAACATGGAGGGTCTATGGGATTGACTCCCTTTTGGAGCCAGTCTCTAGCGGCCAGTCGATGAATTGCAGTTTAAGTCACTTCTGTGTTGGTTTCAAGAGAGAGACCGGAAGGTTGCCACTTGGTCAAAATAAGACTTGAAATGGCATGAAAACATGATCTGTGGGAGTTTTTAGTGAGTAAATCAGCTTAAATCTCCGTGTCTCTGACCATTATTTACCGAGCTTTGATGACTGATGATCTGAAAAATTCAAAAATAGTTAAAAGTTAACTATTAAAAAGAATAGCTGAACATAAGTTCACAAATAAAATATATTGTTTAAATTGTAACTGCCTTAAGTTGATTATTTTGGAATAAATGTAAAATGCTTAAAAGCGCTAACTTAATGGTATTCATATTTGGCTTATAGAATATTGATTACATTGTTAATGTAAAAATATAAAAAAAATTTTTTTTTTCTTTTTCTGATAGTGTAAGTAATGTTTATTTAAACAAGAAAATGTGACCAGGACATGGATTTACATTTACAACACTGATTATTATAAGTGAATGCTTCAGTTATGTTTTTTACGAATTTGAATGCTCAAGCTTTTTAAGGTAAGATGGGAGGTAAGATCCGATTGGCTGTCAGTATTTTTATCTATCAGCTGGAGAACATCATTCTGAATGTGATTTCAGTGATATTGTTCCTCTGTCATTGTGTTGTGAATTTCTCTATTCTCTTATAGTTAAAACAATTATCAAAATATTATAGCTATCGATCTTGGTGTAAACGGGCATATACATATCACAGATATTGCTATATATGAAGTTGGTCCATAATTTTAAATTTTTTTTTCAAACTTCAATTGCTTTGTTTTCAGAATGCGTTGGTTCTACACAATTCCAGACACTAGCAGCATCTTTTACAGAGGAATTTTTAGTATAAACTTGCAGCTAATTTTCTACCTACATGTTTGTCTCAGATTGCCGTCTGGTTGGTTGAGTCTCGACCGTTCTGTGCTGGATCTGGTGGCTCAGTCGGTTGGAGTGGGGAAAAGAGCGGAGCAACAATCTCTTACGTCTCAAAGCCAAGAATCCCACCTTGGCCCAACTGAACAAGCACAAACACAGAATCCACCGACACGGAGACAAGCCCCACGGTAATGTTGTTAGACAAGTCATAATGACTAGTTTTGCATTTCCAGAAGAAAACCGGTGCTTGCAAGGCAACGACAGAAGAGTTTAAGTAAGCTTAGGCTTGTCAAAATAAAATTTGGTTCCCCAACATTGTCATTTTTTAGTCATCTATACACAGATTGTATGTGTCGTCTGTACATCAGCACTTATTGTGTATTCTGTGCTGTCTTTGTAATGTAAAGGTGGTTATAGTTGATTAAATAGATCAAGATAAATAAAGATTAAATATAAAGGCCAAGCACAATTCAGTATGCAAAATTTAAAATCTTAAATTTATTGTATAATACAAACAAAAGCCAAAAAATACACTGTACAACGTATGAAAAACAAGATTGAAATTATCAAAGTTTGAATGTTTTTTTTTAGCTCAGAATTTGGTGGAAAAAAATAGAATGTTTGATGATGTTTGAATAGTAAGGGCTGCTTCACAAAGTACTGTAATTGGCTTATTTAATGTAATTATAATATATATAATAATGTAAGCATATTTAATGTAATTATTTGTCAATGAAAAGACAGTGCAGCCATGCCTGATTAATTCACCTGATCAATTCTTTCTTTCTTTTTATGTCTCTTTCAGTAAAGTGAAGGCGTTATGCCATCATATCGCCACAGAGCCAGGGCAGCTCAGTTTCCACAAAGGTGACGTGCTGCAGGTGCTCAGCAGGGCAGACTCTGATTGGCTGCTTTGTGCTCTGGGTGACAGCCAGGGACTTGTTCCCATCATATACGTCACCCTGATCGAGGACAGTCAGGAGCGCTGAAACTCAGGGTGTGAGATGCGGTCGGGGACAAAGAGGAGGGTCACTGCTTTTCTGAATATAAAATCTGCTGCACAAGGGAGTCTGACGGATTCATTATGTGCTTGCATGTGTATGTAAACACCAATACACCAGTGCACACACACACAAACATCACACTTTGCTGTTGTGAAAGCACCCTCTTTGTTTCAGTGAACAGCATTGAGCCAACCAGTGATTAGAAAGTGTAGATCTAGTTACTGAGTAGTAGTGCAATTGTTTGCAATGAGCCATCAGGTTTTGCAACTTAGCTTGTAATCATAAATGTCAATAGCCTTTTAAAAAAGAACGAAAAAACCAAATGAAGTCGTTAGATGACACTACTGGCACATATGCCTTGTCTTTACTAAATACTGTACGATTTTATGTAATCTAGATGTTAACCAATTCATGTGTTGTGACCGAGAGTGTGTGCACGTGCCCTTCAGAGGCCGTGTGTAAACCGGATGTAATTCGTGAACATCTCTTTCCGTGCAAATAACTGTATGAAGCTGAATAGTACATCACTGAAAAGGGATGCCTCGGTTTTGAAGTCTACGGAAATTAAAGCTCATTAACATGTTGAAAAAGACAAAATATTTTCCCCGCCTTACAGGCCAAGGGAAATCAACCTGTCCAGATGCATTTTTTTTTTCTCCAACCTGTGCTGCTTTGACAGGTAAATCGATCCGCTGATGCTATCCCCACAATCTGTGTTCGTTCATTTCAAGCTTTTTTCACTAATAAGGGAGAGTTTACAGCAAGATTGCCTGCATGTGACTGAGTGCATCACAAATGTTTTGCTTTTCTGATACTTAACGAGTTGCTCAATCTTTAACCTTAATTGTTCTGTTCCTTCCTATATTAACTTTTGCACAATCTGCAAGAGATATAGAAAGGGAAAATGTATCTAATGTTTGTCTGCTTTAGATTTTTGGTTGTTTTGATTTGGTTTAAGGAGTCTGTTTGTCCTATATGTGACCCTGGACCACAAAACCAGTCTTAAGTGTCAATTTTTCGAAATTGAGATTTATACATCAACCGAAAGCTGAATAAATAAGCTTTCCATTGATGTATGGTTTGTTAGGATAGGACAATATTTGGCTGAGATACGACTCTTTGAAAATCTGGAATCTGAGGGTGCAAAAAAAATCTAAATATTGAGAAAATCGCCTTTAAATTTGTCCAAATGAAGTTCTTAGCAATACATATTACTAATCAAAACTGAAGTTTTGATATATTTACGGTAGGAAATTTACAAAATATCTTCATGGAACATGATCTTTACTTAATATCCTAATGATTTTTGGCATAAAAGAAAAATCGATAATTTTGACCCATACAATGTATTTTTGGCTATTGCTACAAATATACCCCAGCGACTTAAGACGTTGTTCAGGGTCACATATTTATTAAGATCGATCAGTCTGTAGATGAACAGACGGATGTATAGATAGAATGGAATGGATTTATAGAGTTTTATGTAAGTAGTTGAATAGATGGCGAGCAAAAAAGAGATTATCTGGGGGTTTGGTGGCAAATCCCTTCCCCTTTCAATATATTCAATTCATGAGCTGATTTCCTCCAGTTAACAACATGAACTTAGATCTGTTAAATATCATCCACAAACACTTACCTCTGTTTTTGCAGTAGAGGACAAAAAAAAAGACATTTAGACGAGGATGGTGAAATACTACATGGCCCTTTGATGTGCTAAATTTAAT